CGAAGTCGAGGTTTTTATTCACGATAATCACCGAGCCTGAGGTGAATAATTGTTTTAATATAATTTGATACGTGATTATTTGGAAAAGAATTAGAAGTACACATTTCTTCGTCATTTAATTGATAAAACGGCTATGGCCGCCATTTTGAAAATCACTTAGGTGATTATCGCGTAATAATCACCTCAACGGCAACCAATCAGCGTGGAGAATTTTCAATAATCACCTATGTAATTATACTAATAACAAATATTTCGTTGGTATATAGGGATGCAACTACCTGAAAAATACAAGGCGAAATTCAACTTTTCGAGCAAAGGCCCTTCGTTGGATTTGACGTCCACTACCCCTACCACTACCATTAAGGGACCATTAGGCAATCATATGCGTTTGATATATCCGATCAACCAATGAGATGTTTATACTAAGCCAATGAGAGGTAGTGATAGCGGGTGGTAGAAGTATTACTAGTATAGCAAAGGCCCTTCCGACGTCGAAAGTCTCCTTTATTTTTCAGCTAGTTGCTTCCCTATATCTCGACGAAAGTTTTGTTGTGTAATCTATAAGCTAGCACGCGTTTATGAAGTAGTTATATTTAGCTTATGGCGAAATTTGAAAAGCAGAGGGATTGTAGCGTCGCCAGTAATTTCCATAAGACAGAAATGGCATAATATGAATCGTACACGACAAATCGCACTTTGTAAACATTCTTGCGATCAAGCTTAGCCTTACATGCATGGAATCAAACAATGTTATATCGGCTTATATTGTGCCGAAAGTATATTTATTGATCGATTTATCCCACACATTCTTACTCCCCTCATATATGCCATATTGCAGTTTCAAAAATATTGGCATTTTTGCAGTTTCAAAAATATTTGTCAGGAAATTCTTTATACTTAAATATAGCAAAGTGGCAATTGAAAGAACATTGTATTGTTTGAGTAGTTCATTGAGAACCAGTCAGTACCATGCCCGAAATATCCGGCACAATTAAAAAGTTCTCAAACGGCCTACGTATATAATGTTTCCGTTAAAAGTCCGTTACTCGTTAGTGCGGCTCAGTTGCATATTAGGGAGCTTTAGATTTGACTACGAGTACGACTACGAGTACGACTACGAGTACGAGATTCATCAAGCTAAACGCATGCTGGTATATTTACGCCATCCCGTACTGACGCGAAAAGGTCGTAGCCGTCGCCCATCTGAGTACGAAATGGTGGAGAAATCTCGTAGTCTTCACGACACCTTTTAAAAAAAAAACAAAGAAAGTTGGCTTTTTTTTTTGTTTACCAAAAATAATTTGTAACATTTATATAACGTTTATCCGGCGCAAATAATATATTAGTATGTTTCGCTCGCTACTCTGGTTAAATAAATGATTACAAAGCCCAGTCGAATTGTAATCAAGACCCACCGTTTCGACAGTCCAGTCTAGTGTCTTCATCAGGGGTGATCTAAAACTGCGATCGTGGCTTCTTAAATACCCAAGGGATGACGTCACCTGCCAAGAAGATGCATATATTCCCCTGGCAAATAGGCGCCGTCATCCCTATTCAAAGCATGATGACTCATTAGTCTAGGACCTGTATATGAGTTTGCATGCATTTCATTTAGGACAAATAATCTCAACTTGTCGTGTATTTAGATTATACTTTTAACAAAATATGAATAATCCATAAGCATGCCCGATCTACATATCTAATGCGCATGTCCGTGCGTATGACCGCTGTCCGTCTATATCTATATATCTAACACCATCTCTCCTCTTAAGGAATGTATCATCCCCGAGCCGGCGGCGCGAAGCGCCGTGCGAGGGTACTAATTCCCCCCGGCTATTTACACCCGGGGAAGGGAAGCATTAGCGAAGTCTAAAGTTCATCAAATATCGCGGGCGTGGATCACTGTGCGTGTTTCGGTGGGTGGTCATCCTCACTGATCTCATAATATAGCGGACTGTAATGAATAGCCAACACTGATTGGTCCAATTTAAAATTGGCATTATAACGGCTGCATGACGATTGACGACAGCGAAATTGATTTGATGATTTCTTGCAAAATATATTTAATTTTTGCAAGATTTTGTAAATTGCAAAGGATTTTTGATGAAATAAAGGCAAGAGGATTGCTAAAAGAAGGAAGTAAAGGTGCCGACGTTAACGAAGGTAAGTTTGTTTTAAATATTGATGCATTGTTTGCTTTTAACATACTGTAATCTCGACTGTAATTACTTTAAAAGCCGATCGTTGCGTATATAAAATATGAAACAAGACAGCGTATTATTTCAGTGTTTCTTTCTTGATTACACTTTTTATTATACTATAAGCAAAGTTATTTACATGGGAGAATTTGGAATACTGAATTTTATTTCGAACTCAAAGTTTATCGATAAAGGCGGTTTAGTTCTATATTAAAAGAACACTTTCAAACCCAGCCATGTCAATGTATGTATCGTTTATGTTAATGTACGTACAACAAGTGATTTTAAGTTGATTTGGCAAAGCCTAATAAATAAATAAATAAATAAACGTTTTGCGAAGCGTTTGTGGTTGAATTTTACCTTAAATTGAAGCTTATATTACGTATAATAACATACCTACTGTAATTAATTTAAAAGCCGATCGTTGTGTATAAATATGAAACAAGACAGCGTATTATTTCAGTGTTTCTTTATTGATTACACTTTTTATCATACTAAGCAAAGTTATTTGCATGGGAGAATTTGGAATCATTTTATTTTGAACTCAAAGTTTATCGATAAAGGCAGTTTAGTTCTATAGTAAAAGAACATTTTAAAACGTTTTGCGAAGCGTTTGTGGTTGAATTTTACCTTAAATTCATGCTTATATTACGTATAATAACATACCTAACATATGTATGTTTAGGAAATTGATAATTTTGTAATTAATAGTGATATTTCTGGGGGATTTTTCATTTGTAAAAATATTCTTAAAAAATTATCGTGTTACCATGACAACTACTTAAAATACTTCGCGTTCGGAAAATAAAATGGTTTTGTCAGCAAGGCGAGGGTTTCTGCATGCATGTATTTTCTAGTAAAATATTGTTAAGTTCATGAGTTCACTGTCGTGTTCGAACAATTATGCTAACCATAACAGTAAGTAATAAAGCAGTTCTCTATGTAGTTTTCTTAAACAGTTTTCGGATCAAACAGTTAAGACCCCACCTCTCGGGTGGTTGGTGTGATCTAGTTGGGTAGCGTTATTCAGATCCTGTTGTAGCCCTACCGGCTTCTTGTTGTTGCACTACTGGTGGATTCGTGGCTAGTTCGATATCCGGCTCTGCGACAATTTCTTCTGCTGGTGCAATATTCTGGCCAGTCTCTCCGAGCTCTGGATGAGGTTCAGCCGTATCATCACTCTGGTCATTTACTTTCACACTCGAGGCTCGAAGCAGGTCGATGTGACGTCGCCAAATTCGATTTGGACCAACTTTTATCTGGTACGAAAGGGGTCCCGTTTGAGCTCGAACTATGCCTGGTAGCCACTTGTCTTTCCCACTGTAGTTACGTGCCATGACAGTCTGACCAATGGATAACTGACGTGTGGGTGAATGTCTTTTCCTCCCCGCTTGATCGATTTGCCTGTTCATCACTTTCCTTTGTAAATCAGGTTTCACCAAATCGAGGCGAGTCCGTAGCGGTCTGCCCAAAAACAACATGGACGGTGATTCTCCCGTCGTCGAATGCGGGGTATTCCGGTAAGCCAAAAGGAACTTTGCCATATTGGTTTTCAGCTGGGATGCACTTTGTTTCTCGCATTTCATAGCATGTTTGAAACTCTGAACAAAACGTTCCGCTTGACCGTTGGTTGCAGGGTGGAATGGGGCCGTGGTAATATGTTTGATACCATTAGTCTTCAAAAATAGTTGGAACTCTGCAGATGTAAATTGTGGCCTATTGTCGGTCACCACCTGTGCTGGCACTCCATATTGGGCAAAAATAGTTCGGAGTCGGTCAGTGGTCTGCGTCGATGTGGTGGATGGCATTATTTCCACTTCAGGCCACTTCGAGTGTGCATCTACAATGATAAGGAACATTCGTCCTAGGAACGGCCCAGCAAAATCTAAATGGATTCTCTGCCAAGGTGTGGTTGGCCATTCCCAAGGGTGTAGTGGTACTTTTCCGGCTTCATTCTGTTGAAGTTGACAACCAGGGCAGCTCTTGGCTAGGTGCTCAATGTCCTTATCAATTTTGGGCCACCAGATGTAACTTCGCGCCAGAGACTTCATTTTAACAATACCGAGGTGACCTTCGTGAAGCTCGGTTAACACTTGATTACGCAACTTTGCAGGAATGACTGCTCTGTGTCCAAGCATTAGGACAGCACAGTGAACTGTCAGTTCGTCTTTCCGCTGGTAAAACGGTTTAATCGCTTCATCTTGTGGAGTGGACCATCCTTTCATAACTAATCCATGGACCTTCACCAATAGAGGATCTCTCTGTGTTTCTCGTTTGACCTGTTCTGCTGTGACTGGCAAAGGCTCAAACTGCGTGGCATAGAAGAGACCCACTGGATCTGGCTCTTCTTCTGTTGTCTCACTATGCAAGGGTAATCGAGATAAACCATCGGCATTCCCGTGTAACTTAGTGTTCTTGTATCTAATTGTATAGTCAAAACCCGCCAAGAACAAAGCGTAGCGTTGTAATCTAGCAGCAGTGACAACAGGAAGACTTTTGCTGGGATGAAAGATTGAAGTGAGAGGCTCATGATCAGTCAGTAAGGTAAAGTTCCTGCCGAAAAGGTAATTGTGGAATTTCTTGACTCCCCACACTGTAGCTAGTGCTTCTTTATCTATCTGTGCGTAATTGCGCCCCGCCTTCGACAGGGATCTCGATGCAAACACTATCGGGTGCTCTGTGCCGTGAAGGTGAAGCATCACAAGCCAGTTGTAAGGGAAGGTTAGGATCATAATGTGTAAGCACCAGATCTGAAACAATCATTGCTTTAACTTTGCAAAAGGCTTCTTCGCATTGATCTGTTCAGTTCCATTGGTAGTTACTTTCCAGCATTTGGTTCAAAGGATGCAGGATTGTAGCAAGGTTTGGCAGGAATTTGTGGTAATAATTCACCAATCCCAAGAAGGAGCGTACCTCTGCAACACTCTGGGGGCGAGGGGCATTCACCATTGCAGCTGTCTTGTCGGTGGTCTTGTGCAGGCCTTCACTATTAATGTCGTGGCCACAGAACGTGATCTTTTCTTTGAAGAACTCACACTTCGATTTATTGGCTCTTAACCCATGGTGGTGCAGCCGTCGAAGGACCTCCTCCAGGTTAGCCATATGCTCTGCGTCGCTTTTACCCGTCACAATCATATCATCTAGGATACAACTAATACCAGAAGTTCCTTCCAGAATCTGATCCATGGTACGCTGCCAAATGGCGGGAGCTGAGGTGATACCAAACACCAATCGATTGTATTGAAACAAGCCCATGGACGTATTAATTGTAAGGTACTTTTTGGATTCTTCCTCCAGCTCAATCTGATGGTAAGCTTGGCGGAGGTCGATCTTGGAAAACTTTTTCCCACCAGCTAATTGGGCAAAGATATCTTCGATTCGAGGCAGAGGATACTGTTCTGCTTGTAGTGTTGGGTTAATAGTACCTTTGAAGTCACCACAAATACGGACTGAACCATCTTGTTTCGGCACTGGTACAATCGGTGTCGCCCAATCACTCCACTCTACTTTTGACAAAATACCTTCGCTCTGAAGTCTCTTCAGTTCTTCCTCCACTTTCGGTCGTAAGGAATATGGGACCTGACGAGCTTTACGAAACTGTGGTTGACTACCTTCTTTGAGGGTTATCCTTGCTTTGGCAGAGTTGAAAGTTCCCAGCTTGTCTTCAAAAACGTCTGCATACGTATCCAATAGGTTTTTCAGCTTCTCTTGTGTAGTCGTGCCAGGGTTTCTATGGCTGGAATCTGAGGATTTCAACAACTTAATGGTTTTCCAGTCGAGGCGAAGCTTGTGAAGCCAATCTCGACCCATTAACACTGGACCCTTAGTCTGGACTACATGGAATGGCAATTGACATGATTGATCTAAGTATTCAACTTGCATGGTAGGGCAACCAACTGGAACAATCAGTTCACCAGTATCCATGGAACTAGACACAGGATCGGCCGTGTCCATTTTGCCATATGACATGTTCTTGGAAAGATTTCGCGACAAGAAGTTAGAGAAAACAACCACCGTACTAAAGACCTATGTCTTTAGTACGGTGGTTGTTTTCTCTAACTTCTTGTCGCGAAATCTTTCCAAGAACATGTCATATGGCAAAATGGACACGGCCGATCCTGTGTCTAGTTCCATGGATAGTGGTTGATTTTCAACTTTCACGTCAACCCATATGACATCACTGTTTGATTTGTTTATATTATGAACTTCCAGGTTATTCAACAAGTGTTCATACTCATCTGGTTCGGTTTCTATGGCATTGGTCGATTTCTGGTATCTTGATCTGGGCGAGGGTCTACCTGGCCCCTGGCTTTGTTGTGCCCGGCAAGCTCTTTGAATATGACCTCTCTTTCCACACTTGTGACAGACTTCTTTCTTACATCTACACTCAGTTGCAACATGGGTATTAGCTCCACATCGATAACACACTACAGGGGAAGGTGGGCCACTATCTGATCTATTCGAGGGTCTGTTCAGTGTCAGTTTGTCAAGACCAAGAGGTTTTTCTTCTCTACCCTTGCTGTGGATCTCTGTAGCATCTCGAGTGGCTGTTTCCATAGCAACTTCTATGTCAACAGCTTTGGAGAATTTTAATTTTGACTCTGCAAGGAGACGTTTCTGAATTTGCTGATTACTTAATCCACACACCAATCTGTCACGCAAGGTTTCTTCCAAGTTATTTCCAAAATTGCAATGTGTGGTTAATTTCTTTAACTCAGCTATATAACTTAAAATGCTTTCCCCTTCTTGCTGATTTCTCTTATAAAAACGAAACCGTTCGGCTATTTCTAGTGGTTTAGGATTTAAATGCTTCTGTAATGTACTTACTATTTCATCAAAGTTCTTGTCTGCAGGCTTTTCTGGCAAAAGTAAATCCTTTAATAATGAATACGTTTTGCTTCCAATCAAACTCAGCAGAGTTGGCACTTGATGATTGTCGTCGATATCGTTTGCAGCGAAAAAATGTTGTACTCGTTCGACATACGTCTCCCAGCTTTCTTGGGTTTCATCAAAAACATCAATTTTTCCAATCATCGTCATTTCTGGACTTATAACAATCCCAAATTCGTCGCCACTGTCGTGTATTTAGATTATACTTTTAACAAAATATGAATAATCCATAAGCATGCCCGATCTACATATCTAATGCGCATGTCCGTGCGTATGACCGCTGTCCGTCTATATCTATATATCTAACACAACTGTTTTAGGGTAAGTTGGCAATGACGGTCAACATGGTAACGCTGCCCGAACCCCAATCCGGGACGAAACGTCCGAAACTGACCACACCCAAAAACGACGCTTTCGCCATACTGCTATCTACCAAACCATAAAAGCTTTGGCTATTCTAAGGTGCTTATATGGTTCAGAGGTGGTACTTTTGGGGGTGGTCACTGGTAAGTGTGAAATGCCTAGCACTAATATTTCACAAGAAAATGGCCATGCAATAATCATAGTTAAACGTCGATTTGTGGCTTTCAAATTCAGATAAACAGCAGTGGACTTACATTACCTTTTTTTCCTAAATCTTTTTGATAGAAACGTAAATGGTACTTATTTAAATATATTATGACTGGTTTGGTGTAAAATAGTTAATATTTTCTGACCGAAATAATAATTTGAAATGTGCCTACCTCCTGCAAATGGACGTATTTGGCCAAGTTCTCCACTTTACTCCGCTGTTTATCAGCGATCTCGTCGACATCCTACAAAAAATGTAAATCATCTCAGACATAATGGTATCAAGAACATTTTAAACAAGTTTCAACTTGGTTTCAAATAGATCATACCTGTTTAACCATCGACAAGGTAAATCCACAACTTTGTCCAAATTCGGCGCCATTTTGTCATCCCATGTCGCTTGTTAACAATTCAGCCTTGTTACTCTTCCATCCAAGCCATTTCCATTTCACTAATAATAAATTTAACCCTTTATAACAGGAGGAAACTAAAAAATCTAAACAAAATATAAGAAATACGCAATTTTATCACCATGTAAAATTTTGCTCACGAATCTTGCAAAACATTCCGTACAAATATCGCGTGACAAAGTAACAGGGACGTGACAGGAGGGGGTGAATTATTTCACGAAGATAGAAGGCTGCGTGAAATAGACTAAAAGCTAAATACAATCATACAAATGTTTGTTTTATTTCTTGTAGCGACAAATATATACATATTATTATTTATTAATATGAAAAAGTCATACAAATTAAATGTTGATTGTTGGTACTTTTACCATACTGTGTGGGCTTTCCTTTCATTTTTCAAGTCTCTACCCCCCTGTCACGTCCCTGTTGCTAAACCACGCGAGATTTGTACGAAATGTTTCGAAGGACTCGTAAACAACATTTTACAGGGTGATAAAATGGGGCATTTCTTATATTTTGTTTAGATTTTTTAGTTTCCTCCTGTTATAAAGGGTTAAATTTATTATTAGTGGAATGGAAATGGCTTGGATTGAAGAGTAACAAGGCTGAATTGTTAACAAGCGACATGGGATGACAAAATGGCGCCGAATTTGGACAAAGTTGTGGATTTACCTTTTCGATGGTTAAACAAGTATGATCTACTTGAAACCAAGTTGAAACTTGTTTAAAATATATGTCTGAGATGATTTACATTTTTTGTAGGATGTCGACGGGATCGCCGATAAACAGCGGAGTAAAGTGGAGAACTTGGCCAAATACGTCCATTTGCAGGAGGTAGGCACATTTCAAATTATTACTTCGGTCAGAAAATATTAACTATTTTACACCAAACCAGTGATAATATATTTAAATAAGTACCATTTATGTTGTTATGAAAAAGATTTAGGGAAAAAGGTAATGTAAGTCCACTGCTGTTTATCTGAATTTGCAAGCCACAAATTGACGTTTAACTATGATTATTGCATGCCCATTTTCTTGTGAAATATTAGTGCTTGGCATTTCACACTTACCAATGACCACCCCCAAAAGTACCATCTCTGAACCATATAAGCACCTCAGAATAGCCAAAGCTTTTATGGTTTGGTAGATAGCAGTATGGCGAAAGCGTCGTTTTGGGTGTGGTCAGTTTCGGACGTTTCGCCCCGGATTGGGGTTCGGGCAGCGTTACCATGTTGACCGTCATGGTCAACTTACCCTAAAACAGTTGAGATTATCTGTCCTAAATGAAATGCATACAAACTCATATACAGGTCCTAGACTACATTCGATCAGTTCAGTTCGATTCCTTTTCAAATTTTTATTCCGCTCCTGAATCTTTAAAGCCCTTTTTCCTTCATCAAATATACAGAAAATAACCATCAAGTTGTTTAGGAATGCAGAAAACATTTTTACTTTAGGTTTTTCAGCTCTTTTTGCATAAACTTTCCAATTCCATTTTTATTTACATTATAAATGAATGTATACGGGGGGTACGCACGTCACACAAAGATCAGGGGCGCTATCTCCGTTTCACCGCCCGTGTTTTACAGCGTCCTGGTAGTACGCGTTCCATTGCATGATAACAAAATGGTAATTTTAATTCCATATCACGTGATCATAATCAGCCAGTTAAATCCAGAATTTTTTTACGTGTTTTACAATACATGCCGTGCTTCATTAATTGTGAAAGGCATTTCAAAGTGACCAAAAAATTTTTGGCAAACTTTTGTAGCTTGTTTCGTTTGGCAGATAGCTACTTACCAATTCAATTTTTGACCATTTGAAATGTATTAAATATTTAGCATTATTTCATTGCATGCAGAATATCAATGATATTATGAAAAACATTTTAAAGTCGGAATCTAATATGAAATGAATGTAATAATTAATATCATTCTTTATGATTATCATACTGATACGTTGATAAAAAAATGCGTAAAATTTTCCTGTATCCAGGAGTCGACTTAAAACATGTCAAGTTTAAAATGAAAAAGAATTAAGTAAAATGACAGTAAGAAAGATGCAAAAACGCATACTAATCTATTAAAATAGTAAAATTACAAGGCGTTAAACAATTTTTGTCATTTATGCCATAATAAAGCAGTTTTTATTTGATACGTAATGCTGCAGCATAAGCATTTTAATTGAGACGTAAATTACACAAAAAATGTTACAGCGTAGTCGTGAACACCTACTGGCACTACATTTAAGCTTTTAAATTACACCAAATGGTCCAGGAGATATTGACCGCGGGCCTCCCCCCTCCCCCCCACCTCCCACAGTCCCAGATGACCCAAAAAAGCCCAGTCTGGATATGTTCGATTTTGACTTAATTTTTTTACAAGGATTCGGCTTGCAAAGTTGCAACAGGTTGTACGAGCTGGATCAATACAAAATATTGTACATTTTCAACATGGCTATTTTTTTTATTTGCAGGCCACACGACGAAATACAGTGCAATAGTAGATCTCCGTTCAAGAAATCGTCACCAATGTCGCGAATGGTTACCCTAACATATCCATTCAATCCTTTTAACAAAGTGTGTTAGAGACTTATAAATGTGTGTTTCCTCGAGTGTGGCGTTTAAGAAGGTGATACAATTGGATAGGAAAAGCGTGGCACAATTGATGTAGTTTTTTACGATTATTCACAAAAGAAGGTTCAAGCTTCCATCGTCATGGTTTTTGACCATTCAAGTTTTTAAGCATTGTCCAAAATGTTTGAACCTGTTTGAAGCTTAGCTTAACATTCATTTTGGTCAAATCTAAGACTCTGAGATGATGATGACATGATCTTTGCTGCTAGGCTTATTGTATTACATGCACCAGTAAATTATATAGTCATGTAACTAAAGGCAAGATACACTACAGAGATAATTTTTGAGACACTTCACGGTATAGTTCGCATAACAATAGACTTTACTATTTTAATATTAGACTTGCGGCCCAATAGTCTCGCTTTTATGTTTGCCTGTTTTAGCATGGCAGGTCAAGTGGAGGTTTCGCGCACGAATATATTCAGTATATTCGAATTCTCTTTTGATATTGACTGACTTGAGCCCAATCACAAGCCTACTGTATATCCTTAAGGCAATTGCGTACGATCGAAATATGAGGAATAACCAGATGAAAACAACGGCATTGGGCCGAAAGAGCAATATACAGTTCAGTATTTTCATTACAAACGACGTCACACGGTAAAGATCCTTCAGTTTGAAAGCATTTTAATATCCAATTGGATGTGGAGTTAATGGCGCGAATGTCCTAGATCACAGATTAAATGACCAGACCTGGCTATCATAAGTATGTTGAAGAGATCCCTTCAATAATTAGTTATATCAAGCGAGATGCCCCAAATCCTGATATCTACCCATCTATCATATAAGTATATGCATGCCTTTTGAGAGCAAGAGTATAGTTGAATATTTAATTTGTGACGAAGAACAGTAGCCGGTTCTACGAAAGGTGGATAAATCACTATCCGGTGGATAAGTCCCTATCCAGGGAATAAATTTTATCCGGAGTGAAAATCGCGTTGTACGAAGCTTGAATAGCGCTATCCAACGGATAAAAATGCACTATCCGTTGGATAAATTTATCCGAGGTCCGGAGGTAGTTTAAATCCACTATCCGGCGGATAAGACCAAACAATGTGTATTTCATTTAAAAGAGATTGCTATTGTGATAGAAATGGACAAATACCGTTTAGAAGTCCCTTTTTTGACACTATAATAAACATGGAAACTTACTTACTAGGGAGATGCTAAGCATCATGGGGCGAGCTTGAGCCAGAGCAATGATAGCCAGCAACTATCATGCAACAATAGGGTGTTTACGCATGTAAGACGGAAATGTCAGGACGACGGCTATCAATACAATGACATTAATCCTATGGCACAAAAGATGAATAATTAAAAGTATAGCTGGAGTTTCAGACGTCGTCCAGGCTCTGTTGACGACGGCAAAATGCATATTTTCACGTCTTGTGGAGTACTCAAGCATTTCAAGCCATGACAGGCAATACTTCTGGCAGAGTTCATCAAAATTGCTCTGAAAGTTAAAGTTCTGTTTTACTCTCTCTATACTGTATTAAATTCATACGAAAGTAAATACAAGACAATATTCCCATACAATAATTTATTTCAAACAGCTTGTTTAGCCGTCGTCCTGACACCGCCGTCTTACATGCATGCGTAGACTCCCTAATGATTACTAATGTCAACCAAGGACGTCGCTATAGGGGTGGGTTCAAATGTCGGTCAAAGTTGGTCAAAATGGAACTGATATTTGCCCAAAGTTGGTCAAAATGGAACTGATATTTGCTTAAAAATTGAAGGTAAAACTCGGAAAAATTTGATCAAAGTTTGGGATAAAAGATGGTCGAAGTTACTCAAAGTTATGAAATGATTCGCAAATTTAAATATTTTAAACCTTTTGTTATGTTTGCGGTGAAAAAATTGGAAGCTTTGCTTATCTTGGTCGAAAAATTTTGAATATGCGTATGTTAGTCCGGAAACATTTTTTTGACTATCCTTATGTTAGTCCAGAAAATGTTTTTGGTCCCCCCCCCCTCCCCGTCGACAACATTTTAGGGAAAAATTTGTACCACTTGGTCAAAATCCTAGGAAATGTTGGTCAAAACCAGCCTAGACCTAGGCCTTCTATTTTTATTATTTTTTAAATATTCAGCGCTTTTTCGTACGAAAAGACTGGGAGATTGATGGTTTCGTGACGTCCCTGATGTCAACCTTTCTTGTTTCCGCACTTGAATGAATTAAACTATCATTGGCATTGCAATGTAGTGTGTCGAAATTTCAAAGGCAAAACTCATAGTATTATAAATGTTGGGAATTGTATTTCTAGCCGTGTATTATATTTAATATTTTGTTCAAAGGCAAAATCCCAAAAAGACCCTGGGTACGAGGATGAGACAAAACTCGTAGTATTAATGTTTGGAATTGTATTTCTATCCATGTATAATATATTTGATGTTTTGTTAAAACATTAAACACGTTATTGAAATCACAATCTTTTCAATCTTTCGTGCATGAAATCATGGGCGTACGGGAAGGGAAAAATTAGGGGAGCGGAAAGAAATTTGCCCGACTTTTTCGGATTGTGCCCGAGTTGTCAAAAAAAAAATTTCCGGAGAAACTTTCCAAAGTTGTTGTCGACGGGGGGAGGGGAGGAGTGATTACGAAAATTCCTATTAGATAGCATATTTCCCACAAAATTGACAGAATTTCCCACCAAATTGACAGAATTTGTCCCATTTATTTTTATAATATTGCCCCCATGAAACATTGAAATAAATAATATAGAAATGGTTGAATACATGATTTTTGGCACGCGCGCTAAAAATAGCACTACATGCACTGCATGTAAACAAAACATTTAATACATACATTTAATACATACCGGATTGCAAAAACTTGCAAATAAGGTCTTTTTTTCATAGTCTTAGAGAAGAATAACAGAATTACAGAATATTCAAAATCGGGCTTTGCATCAGAATTTGAACCGCAACTCACTCAGAAATCGAGTAAAGACTAAAGTGAGTAAAATTGCGATGGGCTTAATAATACTGCACGTAAACAAAACATTTAATACATACAGAGCCGGATTGCAAAAAACTTGCAGATAAGATCTTTTTTCATAGTCTTAGAGAAGAATAACAGAATCACAGAATATTCAGCCCAAATCAAATCGAAATCGGGCTTTGCATCAGAATTTGAACCGCAACTCACGCAGAAATCGAGTAAAGTATAGCCGCCAGCACACGATGCGATTTTAGTCGGCCGATAAAAATCGTTTGACTAAAACTAACAAAATCGTTGTGTGTGCGTTGTCATTTTTAACCGATTTTTGTTGCTCGATTTTAATCGGGCAACATCAAAACGTTTTGATATTATACGATTTTTATCGGTGGAATTTTAAGTATAACCAATCAGATTTCATGCTGTGATCACGTGCTTGTATTTATTTGGCAACATGGCGGCTACAGTTCAATCGTGTGCGGAGTATACCGATGTATATCGGTATGTCAAACGATTTTTATCGGCCGACTAAAATCGCATCGTTTGCGCCAGGCTTAAAATTGCGATGGGCTTACTGTCGTTCCAATTGAAGTGTTGCTCAAATATTGATTCAATACATTACCTCGGGGCTGACCAATTCATTTCATCAAGTTCCTCGAGATATTCATACACTTCCTAGTATAATTGTAAACTTCCTGTTGAATAGTTTGAATGCACCAATCACCTTTGTTGTTTGTGCAACTAACCAATCATAAATAGAAAGGAAGTGACCAGAAATGATCAAATACTTGGAATTGGCACTTTCACAGGAAGTGTATGAATATCTCGAGGAACTTGATCAAATGAATTGGTCAGCCCGAGGTAATGTATTGAATCAATATTTGAGCAACACTTCAATTGGAACGACAGTAATAATAATATACTGCATGTAAACAAAACATTTAATGTATACAGAGCCGGATTGCAAAAAACTTGCAAATAAGATCTTTTTTTCATAGTCTTTACAGAAGAATAACATAATTACAGAATATTCAGCCCAAATCAAATCGAAATCGGGCTTTGCATCAGAATTTGATCCGCAACTCACTCAGAAGTCGAGTAACTGAGTACTATAAAATAGCGATGTGCTTAATAATACTGACAACTATATATAATACTGACCATTCCAATTTCCATTTGTTATTTGGCATGAAGAATATATTTCATCGCATGTCGCATGAAAAATTGTCAGCCGGTCAAAATAGCCGGTGCGAGGCGAAAAGCCGGTAGAATTTAAATCACTGTAGGAAAAGTTCCGTGTACGTACGTACAACGAACAAACGAACGCAACGAACGCACCATAATGCATTGCGCTTGAGCTCGATGAGCCACCAAACTGCGGGGCTCGCTCAGGCTCGCCCCAATGACTTCTCTCGCTCTTGACGTACACCGAGCTCACTTTGAGTCACTTGCCCATGAAATAATACATGATTTTTCCATATTTTACGCAGACCAGTGTCAGCTAGTGCCTAGACGTTAAGTTTCTGGCTTTTTTCCTTCTTTTTTTTCTATTATATAGCTCGAAAACAAGCAATAAAACTTTCATTAAATGAGTTTCCTTCAACGCCAAACAAATATAGCTACATATAAATAGACAACGAGGTGCCGAAACTCGAAAAATTTTGTTCGCTGGCCTTAATCAGTCAGACAATCAAATCTTGCGAGAAAATGTTCTTAAAATTGTTTTGAATGAAGTGAAAGGTCAAAGAACAAATATTCGGACAGTACATAAAATAAAACTGAATCGACATACTGAAACAAGAAAACAAAACTCGCAGTCTTTGCTATTGCCTTCCCATAAAGAAGCCAAACATCTTTTAAAGAAATATCGATAGAAACGATTCGACGAGAAAAAATCCAAAATATGAACATGAACAAAAAACCTTTATTGCAAGTTGATAGTTCAAAGATTAGTGGAATTCACAAGTTATACGAAGACAACAAAAGTTTACAAATACCTAGCAACAGCTGACGTAAAGATAAGAAATTTCAGGAAAATCCGGTTTTCTCCGGTTAAAATTAAGGTTATCCGACGGATAGCTATCCACCCTGCTATCCGTGCTTCGTACAGCGCATTTTTATTCGGCAGATAGCTATCCATTGGATAGGCGATTTGTCCATTGGATAGGACTTATCCACTGGATAACTTAATATCCACCTTTCGCACAACCGGCCCCAGAAGAAAAAAACAGGTAATCGCCAAATTTTATGTTGAAATCTAATTCTTCAGATTTTAGATTTGCCTTCCTGTCCATTCGACGTTGCTCTATTCGCAGTAACTCTTTCGTTCTCGCGTTTTGACTTCGCAATCATAAACATCTGGGGACGGTTGTACGTCGTTAACTTTAACTATGATTAGCGTTAATCACTCAATTGTTAAATCCTTAACTATGATTAGTTAACTACACGACTTAATTGCGTTGTACAAAACGTAGTTTGTCGGATGAGTAACTAATCACGTAGTTAACTTGCGTGGGGTGGTTAAACGGTAAAATTACATAAAGTAAAGAGTGATTAACGACCGCTTACAAGCATTTCTGACATGATTGTGGACTCACATTTTGCAAATAAGCGGGAATTTTATTCAAAACAGTGAAAAATAAACAAGAAAACAAGTTTAAAATCAACGAAGAAGCTCGTTTTTTATTTGAGATGTCTACGTTAAACCTGTCTACGTTAAACCTGTAACTGTTTGGCAGTTATATATCTTGCATGTTTCTTCGTGTAATGGGCCCTACGTCGTCTTCGAGAAATCTTCCGGTGCAAAAATATATTTTGTTTTCGCCGAAAAACCAAAGCGATAGCGTTTGAAGAGTTTATATTGTCAGATAACATTCACAGGGAAGATAGCGATTGAAAATCCCAGGTAAGCATTACTTTTCATTGCTGTTTTACTGAAAAATGTTGTTCCCTCCTACACAAGCGCCATTTTTAACTACGTTTTGAGAAATTAACGATACCCTAAAGCATCATTAACTTTAACTACGTTTTAACTACAGTTAACGCTAACCACTTTTTAATTTATACAACCGAGTTAACTACGTGATTAAAGTTAACCACAATTTAACTACAAAATAGTGATTAAAAAAGTGATTTTAAGAGTTTAAATTTATACAACCGGTCCCTGGTTGTATAAAAAAGTAGTTCGCGTTAATTATAAGTAACTGAACATGGCTTGAGAGAGATTAGTGTTTAAATGACCCCGTAACCCGAGGCAGGTTTGCAAATCTTCCGAGGGTAAGGGTCATTTAATCACTAATCTCCCGAAAAGCCATGCTATTAGTTTGTAATAGCATAGTTGAGTTCCCATTTGAAAATGGACAAACATGCCCCAATTGCAATCGGCGAATTTAAGCTAAAACATTTGCTTCTTTCCTTGTGGGATGTAAAAGCTTGTTGCACATACGCATGCGCAATCTCACGAAAAAAAACGATAAATATATTAGTATAAAATCCACGCCCGCGATAACTGAAGAACTTTAGACTTCGCTAATGCTTTTGTTTCCTGGGTGTAAATAGACGGGAGGAATTAGTACCCTCACACGGCGCTTCGCGCCGTCGGCTGGGGGAAAATAGGAGACTGCACGAGTGTAATTTAAATGATGCAACAACTCAGGGATCGGATGATAGATTATTGACGAATCTGAGCTAACTGTTGCTGTTCCTTGCACGATTATGTGCGTGAGGTAGTGATGGGCGATACCAGCTTTTTTAATTCGATACAATACCAGTCCGATACCATGAATTTTGCTCGATACCGATACCAAAATCGATACCGATACTCAATTCTTTCCATTTATTAAAATAACTTTTAAAACAAGAACATTAACGTTAACAAATCAAAGAATACTTTAACTGGAGTGCTTGCCAAATAATTGTATATTATGATTTTAAATCTAAACAATATCAACGTGTTCAATGTTTTCCTTAAATATATTACTAATTAGCTACATGTTTTTGTTTAAGAAGATCATCATGTCAACATTTTTTTCCTTCAGTCTGTTGCCTTCATGAAATATTAAGCGATTGGATCGCAGGCTCAAGTGGTATCGAATTACCGATACTCTTTGCGAATATCGAAAGTATCGATACTTTTGTAAGTATCGATGATTTCGATGCTTTTTCGATTTATAGTATCGCCCACCACTAGCGTGAGGCACTTGCCTAATGCGTAGTCAGCAGGGAAGCAAAGGGTGTGACCCTTGCCAACGGGCGATTAGAACTAATCGCCCGCTACAGCGGGCGATTACTTAGTAATCGACCCTGTTGAAACCAAACAAACCTGCGCAACTATGCTATTACTCTAGTTAAAACGTAGTTAAAGTTAACGATGCTTTTGCACAGAATAGGAACATAACAGAAGGGCAACTCGCATGTAACACCGCGGAAAAACGTCTGCGCATGCGTCAACCTTACCTGTAATAGTATTGCGAACTTGATGAAAAGCTGTTCCGAAGGCTCAAAATGGCGGTAAAAAGGAGTGACTTCATTGTGCGTCTTTACAGCCAGATTTCGAGTGCAAAAATAAACATGTCATTCTAAAAACTAGGAATAAATACAGCCAGAAGGTTCAAGAAATTGTATTGTACAAGAACATGAACTAAAGGTGATTGTTGACAAATTTATCGTCTGAAACATTTTGTTTATCAACTAAGCAACGACAATTTCCGAATTTTCGTTTGAGATACATTTCTTTAAAAAAAACAGTGTCGCCAAATATAAAAAATTTTCGTGTTCACAAGAATTAAACTTTAGGATTTATTCTACAATTTGAGTGGGTTAAGAAGCTTAACTTTTCGAGAGTTTTCTTAACTTTTGAGTTTGAATTTTTGTTTTGAATAAGTTTGCAAAAATTTTCGAAGTCGTGTCCGTTAACATCAACAATTTTTTACATGAATTATATTTCATTCCATACTTTAAATGCCAGGACGCTTTCAATTAATGTCTAGTCTACCCATTTGCTATATTTCTCGTTTGTTTTACTAATTTTTTACCAATTAATAAGCATGTTTTTGTTTTAGAAATTGATATTCAAATTCCCCGCCATATTTTCATAATTTGGTGCATGCGCAGACGTTTTTCCGCGGTGTTCTCGCATGTACAATGCGTAACCAATTTCAGTGCGCACGCGCGGAATCTCTCAAGCTCGCAGCCAGTATGTGTGCGTTATGCTGTGTATTTTTCAGTATCTCGCTATCCATTATGTAATAAAAAGTACGTTGTACTAGTTCGACCGGTTCTTTACCCGACAAAAAACGTAAAAGTGACAATCTATTGCGATGAAGCCTTTAAAAGTTGCTGATATGGATAGGTTTATAATTATATCCCTACGGTTTTATTCCCCAGTCTTTGTAGTCTCTTGGTTTGCAATCGTCTTTTTTAAGACCTTCTTTGTGCCATTTTCCTTGAGAGACCGCCTCACATATCCGACACCAATGACCAAATTTTTCGTCCCAAAATTTACCTATAACTGTATCACTAATATCACCCAGACCTTTCACTTTCCATTCTAAAAACTTATTATACTCCATTTCATTGCTCATCAAAAACGTGAGGCGATCAGCCAAATCTTTCGGAGACTTAAAATTTCTAACATCCACGATTGCGTCCTTTAGATTTCCGGGTAAGAATTCGTATACTTTGTCTGTGCTCATGACTATAGGTACTGAACCAGCATTAAATGCATGAACAATTTGTTCGTCCACAAAATAATCACAATCTTCGTTAAAGAATACAGTCAGAAACTTGTAGGAACGCGCTAGATTTTGTTTCAGCAACCTATAATCTCCACCGTATCGTCTTGTCAAACCTTCTTTATTGTGCAAACAGCCGCCATAGGAGTCGACTTTAATATAATTCATCAGTTGTTTTAAGTAGGCAGTTCTTACTGGTTCACAGTTACTAAAAGCAGCCATGATACCTCCAGTTTTGTTATTGAAAGCTAATGGCGGATCTAGATTTGGCTTGGAAAAGAGGGGGGTTGGGAAATCGGAATCAAGTCGATAGCTGTGCAAGATATGAAACTGGGACATGAGGTCCTGATTGCCTAAAACAGGAGCGTGAATAGGATTCTCTTGGGTATATAGAATCCAGGGGATATGTTTCGAAGGAGGTAATGGATTCAGATCATTTCCATGAACAATGAAAGATTTAGCCTCGTTAATGCGAGAATGATCAATTGTAACTTCACATGCCACTGGACATTGACCTGGCTCGTTACCCCTCTCCCAAACTCCTTCTTCTCTTTTTGCTGGCTTACCCCAAACTCTCGACCAAAAGAGAAGAACAATTTTCTCGTCTTGTTGTTTCTCTCTGCTTGGCCCTCCAACAACAGCTTTGTTTCGGATTTCAGGTTCTGGTACAGTTTGGGTCATTTTCTGGTCTTGTTGTTTCTCTCTGCTTGGCCCTTCAACAACAGTTTTGTTTCGGATTACAGGTTCTGGTACAATTTGGGCCACGTTATTGAACAAATTCATATACAGCAATTGGGAGAGAATGATTGTGACAAGAAATGCCAAAAGAACGCAGAATAACATGAGCTTTCTGTTTGATATAAACACAGCCATATCAGTTCAAGTGCCACAATCACTTCTGAAGCGTATTTGATCTGCAAGAATATCCTGCAATGGAAATAAGAGAACAAATACTTTGTAAAGGAAATTACAGTTCGAGACGTATTAATGAAATATAGCAAATTCGCGGGGGCGTAACTAGCGGTTTTGCATTGAGGCCCAAAAAGTGTGTATTCCCTTCATTCGACACTCTTCCAAAATATAACTTTTGGAGTCTATTAAGGCTGGAGTGTTCTACTCCGCAAAATGCATTTTTACTCGCTGGGGCACCTGTGCCCCAGATGAGTATAGGTTTCGGCACGCATGGTGGATGTCAGATTTCCGATCGTCGTTGATAGCCACAAAATAGAATATTAATGAGCTGCCTAATTTTCGATCCCCCCAATTATCCATAAGGCTCCTGCCAAATTTACCCAAATTATCCATAAATAACCCTGCATTTTGAGGAAAATTCGGGAAAATTGAACAATTTACAAGGGATTTCGCATGGAAACAGCAACCTTCGCAAATCGCAAGTTTATACTATGTCTATGGTTTATACGTTTGGCTGCGCTGCTTTATATTTTGAGAAGAAAGCGACACCGTTCGATTCAGCGTAAGGAATTGTAATTACTGATATCAAATGTATTACAAAGCACCAGTATTTTAGCGATTTATGGCCTTTGAAAATCAAGCGAAATTGTATTGTTGACAAATCGCTCGCAGTACGTATTATTGTTGAGAAATCACTCGCGCTACGTTTGTCCTTGTATTTGTAATGCCTAATGGCGCAATAAGGATAAAAATACCACCGTTCGATTCAGCATAAGAAATTGTATTCACGGATGTCAAATGTATTACTAAACAGCAGTATTCTAGCGATTTATGGCCTTTGAAAATCAAGCGAAATTGGTCAAAGTGTATTGTTTAATTGTTGACAAATCGCTCGCAGTGCCAGTACGTATTTGTTGACAAATCACTCGCAGTACGTTTCATAGTGTTTTGTAAAATGCCTAATGGCGCAATAAGGATAAAAATACCACCGTTCGATTCAGGGTTACAAATTTTACTAATTACGGTTGTCAAATGTGTTACTAAACAACAGTATTCTAGCGATTTATGGCCTTTGTCTTTGAAAATCAAGCGAAATTGTGTTGTTGACAAAACGGTCAAAATTATTAAACTAATTATAAAAAAATGCAGTGCGTTTGATCCTTGATATATAACTTTGGTATCATTGGTTTTCTCTTTTTCGGCCGTATACCAGTGGATTCGTCTCACTTCTCTCTTCATTTTGATAGTATTTTGAGCCCAAAATATATTTTTTTTTGAACGTTTTAAAGTGCAGTTTAATCCTAGTGTACCAACGAACTGGCGGCTGACAGTCAAGGATTGTAGCGTACTAAATATAACTTTACTTGTAGGGTAGGGTAGGGTAGGATAGGGCCTACCGCATTTTAGTACTGTGTTAAGCCTTTCGCGCTCGTTTTCGACTTAATTTTCCACTTAATTGAAATAGCTGTGTACTGTATGTATTATGCGTGATCATGTACAGTAATGTGCGTATTTGTATAGCCCCAGCGAGTTAACGCTCCGTAGAGCGTCTTGTTTTATACTATTTTGGGCAGCAAGACCCAATATTTTTCTCCGTTTTCTGAAACTGAGAGAAATCGTTTTAAAATAACTAACTGATGAATACCACCCAAGCTTTACGCGTACATTAATTAGATCAATATTCAGCCAATTTCTATAAAACACTGATAGAAAATACAGTACTTGAGTGAAATTGTAAGAACTGGGAAGTACCCTGAAAATTTTAGGGGACAAGTAAAAAAATTACGGCTGCCAACCATTCTGAATATGGGAAAATCGAAATATTTTTAAAAAATGGACTTTATGTCCATTACAGATCGCTTCATCGGCGATTGGATTTCAGCGAAGAAACAACGGTTAAAAAAGGAGTAGACTACTGCAGGTCACAGGCGCGGATCCAGACTGATGCAACTGATGCGAGTGCATCAGTCAAAATTTTCATACGAACGAAGAATTGTCAACATTTTATAAAAATATATTTAAATATTGGCAGTGGCGTAGCCAGCCCGACGATTTAGTCCCGCTATGGAAATTCAAAATTATTATCATTATTCACTTCTTTAGAAATTGATTGTTTTCACAGTCAATGAACACGAAAATATTTACATAGCGGGACTAAATCGTCGGGCTTACTACGCTACTGAATATTGGTTGTCTTTGATCCAAAGTCCTTTCAAACAATATATTTTCACAGGAATGAATGTAAACACAGCTATATTTCGCAAAATATATATGATGAAAAACGTAAACGCATAGCAAATTCCGCACTTATCAAGTTGTACGATTTTGTGTCGTGACTTTATTTCGCCACATATGTCGGTGTTTAGTTTGATGCATCCACTATTATTACAGCTCAGTGTAAGCATCACTACGTCACGTTGGGGCCGGCAGTGCATCACTACGTCACGTTGGGGAGAAAAGTGCATCAGTGGCGCATCCAAATCGGTCCCGAGTCTTTTGGCCGAGTTTTCCCAACGATACGTCACGAAAACCATTGTTTTCATGCCTACGTAACGTTGGGAAATGGATGCTGACTGATGCGTTTAGCCCGCGATCAAAATAATGCGCTTTTGACTGATGCATTTCGCCCGCAATCAGAACAGTCAGTGATAAATTTTATGGTCGAATTGTTATATAATGGCGGGAGTATTAATGGAACATTGTATCTCGCATTGTATGGAAATATTTTACGATCTTTGGTGGTTCACTCAAACTCACTGAGCCTCAAAGCCGTCGAAATTAAAAGGTTTGTCAGCTATTTCAGTAATTTCACAAGGGAATGTTTGGGATCTGTGTACTGTGTTTATAGATGTGGATTTAAACGAGTGAGTCTGTGTGTGACTGTGTGTTGATATTTATAATAAATACTGTAGGTATAGGTATATTTGTCGTAGTATAAATATCACAATTTTACAAAATTTATTATATTTGAACTGTTTTAAATATGTCAACATGGATGATCCTGTTTTGGCTGTTCACATATAATTTGATATAAACACTCAATATGCCATTCAGCCATTAATTATATAGTGTGTAGGGGGGAGGGGGGGAGGTTGTGTCTTAATTTGTTTGAAAATGCAAATTGAATCTAGATGCTTGATAATATTTTGCAGTTCTCCCTGAGATTCTTACAGTCTAAGGGACTCTGTCTAGGATCCTGCAACCCTTACTAGCAGCTATATTCCTGGCACCTGCTGGTTACTTGGCCGGTTACTTGTTAGGTGCTGTTTCCCCAAAACACTGCTATCTGTATGATTACACACCATGCCCTGGTTGATGCTCACACCCGACATCAATACCGGCACCTAATTAGATCCTCCCTATATCCAAATCCATCCCTGTATGTGCATCATTTTGGAATTGGGAAGCTCTTGAAGCTTTAAAACAATATTTTAAAGGGCAATGTTTGGTGATAGTGAGATTAGTTCAGTTATATATTATCTCTATTGTTCCAGAATGATCACCTAGTACCAGAAGCCATCCATCACACTAAATGGCATTACATGTATCAGGGTTGCCCCTGCCAAGGTGAGGGGAGAGGCACAGGGGGTGACCGGCAAATTATTGTGATGCTGAAAATAAAGGGGATTCACATGCTTAGGAAGGGAATAAATTTAGCTGGGCCCTTTCAGGTTCGGCCCCTTAAATTTGCGATGCTTTCCTGGGATTGTTCATATGCCTTTAAATTATACCATTCTCATGACCATGGCTCAGCACAAGGTGTTCATTTTAAATGTACCAGTCTAATTAGCAGTTATGGGACCAAATTACTGTTCTAATCATTCTATCATTTATTTTCAATACAACAAAGGGTCATTGCATAGAATACATTAATACTGAAGCTTGTCAGTCCTGCTCATGCAATCAGATACCTACCAAGTCCATAACTGCACTACTCCCTGTCTTCCCTTAATATCTTGAAACAGCAGTTTGGGATACATACAGTAGTCCTAGACACTCTCCTGAATGTATGATTTGGGATTCAATGCAAAATCTGTGGAGATATATTGGTCAATGTATTGTAGATATCCAGACTTCAAATACTGTAGAATAATCTATTTTCTGCAAATAGTTTCAATAATTGTTTATTTTTAATATTAACTGGTCAGCAACAATGAAAACTAGTACCTAACACCCTTGAATACTTTGATAATCTTACAGTATTTAAAAGTTCAAACTGCATTTGTCAAAATGTTGGATATAAATGCATCCATAAATATTAGAGTGACTAGCTCCAGAGAGGGCCTTCATATACAGTAACTCAAATTATTAAAATAATATAACTGGAATTTATGTCATGGTGGTGCTGCTGGAAGGCATTTGACCTGGAACATTGTTATATTGATTGGTGTTAACTGGTAACAGGAAGTGATAAGTTACAGGAAGTGATATCATTGGCAATGAATATAATAGTACCTGGAACATGAAATATATTTGATTAAGTAAATATATTTGATTGATTGAAGTTAAACTGCCAAGCCTAGCTTGATGTTGTGAATCCGTCCAGAGGTGGTTGGACAGCTAATTAGCGAATTGTCACGTGAGCTCTCGACCAATGAGATCGCTCTATTTTCCATCGTGTTATCTGCAGAATTTGGACAGAAAAATTTGCATTCGACGGAAAATAAATTGGAAAAAAATATTAATATTAAAATTTTCTTGCAAAATCTCACGTGTTGTAGTACTACTACTAAAGATCTGGTAATATCTGCAAAAATCTCTGAGGTAAACTTTATTTTCAATGTTATTTTGATGTTTGAAGTTAGACGACTCCCCGCGACGTGTTGACTCAAGTCTAAATATGTTTACGATGTTTAAAGTGAAATATCTAGAATTCCCATGGTTCGATTTTCTTCATTTTTGGTAGTCGTCAAGACAAAAGTATAAGCTTTAAATCTGCTGGAATGATCCCGGTGATCCCC